TGAAAACCGTCGTTTGTCTGCTCCCCCATTTTTTTTGTCTTCGCTCTCTCTTCTAAGTGCAGTGCGCAAGGCAGGAAGATGCATTCCTCCCCAGTCATCACACACATTTATGCCTCATAGGGGCAAAAAAAGGGGGAAACATTCCACACACAGAACCACAAACACAGCGAGGCAACAGTGTGCCGCTCAGCCTTGAAGGAACGGCGGCTTTGGTGAAGTCCAGCCAGGCCGGTGGGAGCCCACGTCCCAATCCTTGGCGGGCGTGGCGGCGACGCGGTGAACGGGGCGGGCGTCCTCCCGGGCTCAACGAGCGTGCCGCTGGACGAACTCGCCGACGTACGCTGCGAAGTACATGGCGCCCAACTCAAAGTATGGTGAAAAAGGTTGCTGTTTGCCGCCTTGAAGCTCACGCGTTGGGAAAGGTGGTCTGCGCTGTTGCGGCGGAGCCCCAACGACTGCTAGTTCGTCTGTTGAGAACGAGCCCAGTTATTGTGGCAGGCGATTGCTTTTGCGCTTTTTTATGCATTTCATTTTTTTTTTGCTTCTTGCTACCCGTGGGAGCTGGATGAGTCCCCTCTGGCGTGGAAGAAGGGTGGGAAAGTTGAGCCAGACTGTAACTCTCCCATTTTTAAGTATTCGTATTACTATTTTTTTTTTGCGGTTTTTTCACGCCTAGTGGCACTGAGGGGCCGGGACACAAAATATATATTTTTTTTTTCTACTCTCGTCCAACGTGGGGCGTGCGGCTTCCTGCCAACGCGGCAGGGAAGGGAGGAGGGAGAGCTGTTTTTGCTGCCGCCACCGCCGCCGATTCTTCTTTTTTCTTCGCTCGCTTTTTCCCCCTCATCGTGCCTGCGGGCGCCGGCAGGAAGTCGATGGCCTCCGCAGATCAGGCGCAGCGGGTGCAGGTGGTGGTGCGTGGGCAGAGGTTTGAGTCCACCGTGGAGACTCTCTCGGCGTACTGCCTTTTCTTCCGCGGCTTCTTCCGTAAGGCGCGTGCGAAGCTGGCGGCCACCGACGACGCTGAGGGTGTCGGTGACGACGACTGGTGGTCGTGCCACGCCGCCGCCACGCGCACGCTTGAGGAGCACCTGCAGTGGCCCGTCGAGGAGGGCGCGCTGGTGGTTGGCGCCGCGTCCGTCGCGCTGGACCGCGCGGCGCCCATGTGGAGGTTTGTGTACACCGCGGAGGGACTGGCGCCGGAGGACGTGGGGGTTGTTTTCGTGTACCTCCGCAAACTATTCCGCTGGAGCCGGGAAGGGCAAGGCGAACAGCGGGAGCCGCAGCTGCCGATCCGCTGGGACGAGATGCCGTACGACGCACAGCTTGCGATGGCGCGGGTTGTATGCAGCTTCGGTGTAGAGCCGCTTCTTGGGCGCTTCGACCGTCCCACCGCAGCGCGCGGTGGTGTGACGAGCACGGAGGCAGATCCCGTTTCGCTGCGGCAGATGGCGGAGGCGTATGCGCAGGCGCGGCTACGGCACGATGGATCTCTGGAGGCGGGAGCGGCACAGGCGGAGGCGCCTGCGGCAGCGGCAGCGGCTGAAGCAGGAGGAGGAGGAGGCAGCCGTTGGCAGGACGCTATTGAGGACGAGGATTTGGTCTTAGCAGCGGCGGCGTGTTCAAGGTGTGGGGTCACCGGACACGCGGACGTTGACTGCCCGCGCTGAGCCCGATCCCCCTCCGCTGGAGAGGTAGTCATCTGATTCTTCTCACTGTCTCTCTCTCTCGCTCGAAGTGTGTGTGTGTGTGTGTGTGTGTTACTTCACCTTCCCCTTCTCTTGTTGTTGTTGCCGCGCAAAGAGAAGGAAAGTTTTAAGGAGGCCCGTCTCTGTGCATTGCCAGTGTGCATCTATAGATATATATATATATATATATTTCTCTCGCTGCGGGCACGTGTGGGTTACGCGACTGCCCCTCGCCGCATGACGAAGCGAGAGCGCCGCCGCAGTCCGTCTGCCACCCTGACGCGCGAGGATGCCGCCACCGCCATCCGCAAGGGCGCAGAGGCGGAGGCGTGGGGGGCGGCGGAGCACCAGCTGGGCCTCTTTGCCCCGCTGCTGCGGCACTACGCCGCGCTCGTGGCCCCCGCGCCGGCCACCGCCCTTCCCGGCGACGCCGCGGACGAAGGCGCCCGGGGCAGGCGTAGAGGGAGTCCAGCCGGCCACGCCGCGCTGAACGGGCAGGGGGCGACGGCCGTCGCGCTGCACCCGCCGCAGGAGACGGTTGAGGCTGCGCCGCAGCAACGGTATGAGATGCTGCGCTCCTATGTGTTCCCCACCACCGTCAGCAGCTACCTTTGCCGCGTGTCTCTGCTCGCGGGGGACGACACGCACGGCGGTGAGGTGAAGCGGCGCCGCCTGGAGGCCGCACCGCCCCGGGAGGAGACTGAGGCAGAGTTGATTGAGCGCCTCCGCGGCGTGGCGGAGAGGCAACTCCCGGCCTTCGCCGACGACAGCGAGTTTCTCGCGGCGCACGAGAACCGGTACGTGTGGAAGGAGTGGGCATTATTCAATTTCAGCTTCCGCAACGGCAGCACGCATCTGCTTCAGCTTGTGGCGAAGGCAAAGTTAGACGCCTTCCTGCACTGCCGCCCCTGCCAAGAGGCGGCGCTTGACCTCTACGCCCACCACATAACCACCCGACTGCAGAAGATGCGAGTGTCACCCCGTGTGGTGCGCGTGGCACAGAGGCTGCAGCTTGAGCCGCATGAGCTGGAGACGCTGACGTACGTGCTCGTGTGCCACTGCGGCTCGGCCTGGCCGCTGCACTGCGGCGGCGGCGGCTCCCTCGCCCCCGCCGCCCTCGCCTTTCACAACAACCTGAGCTCGTTTCAGCTGATGCACTTCCTTGCCGACTACCGCGAGCACATGAAGCAGGGCATGCTTACCTCCGACATCAAGTTCAAGAACAGCTTTATGGACTGCAGGCTGGCGATGCCGCAGGAGGTTATCGCCGCTCTCGCGGGCGACAGTCTGTCGGAGGAGCAGCTGATTCGGCTAGAGAAGACGGCGCTGGCGGAGGTGCTCGTGGCGGAGCGCACGGATGCGGCGGCGACGACGTCAACGACGCCAACTACTACCACCACCGCCACCACCGCGGCCGACGCCGCGCCGCCGGGAAAGCTCGGTGGGGCAGCCGTCGACAAGGCCGAGGCCTCGCACCACACAAACAACGCGGATGCCGAGGAGGAGGCGTCGTCCAACTGCGGCAGCGGCGACAGCACGCCCAATCTGGAGGCGCTCGGCGTTGACGCGGCCCCGCTGCAGAGCGGCGACGAGAGCGCCCTCGAGGCGGCCCTGAACGAGCGACTGCAGGCGTTGCTGCCGAACCTCCAGCAGCTGCAGCAGGGCGGCGGGGTCAGTGGACGCAACGGCAGCGTCGCCTCATCGAACTCCTGTGCCGTGGCAGGGTCCCTGCTTCATGCGCCGTACGTAAGCGATATTGAGTACATGGACGAGTCCTTCAAGTTGCTCTCCAACGTGGTGCGCCTGCGCGGGGCGGAGAGTGACATCAAGGATGAGGAGGAGGCGATGTTTACGCCCAAGACGAAGGTGGAGGCGATGATTCGGGAACTTCGTGGTAAGGTGCGTGTGGCGACGGCGATTCACCGCTCCCGCACCGAGGCAACGCTCAAAGCCGGTAAGTTTCTTCCACGCATTGAGGCGCTCTCGCAGCGCCTGCAGCTGTCCGAGCTTGAGAAAAGCATTATGCTCTTGCTCGTGGGCAACGTCGTGTCGCATGACATACTTATAGCAATTAATGGCCGCTACGTCATGCGGGAGGGGCAGCGGGTGCTGACGGTTGGCTACATTCTCTTCGTCCTTTGTGAGACGCTAAAGGAGCGGGTGGCGGCCCGCAAGTCGTTTTACCAGTCTGGTCCGCTCCTCTCGAACAGCGTGCTGTCGCTCTCGCTTGACGGCGGCAGTAGCCGCACCTGCTTCAACACCGACCTCATGGACTACGTTGTCGACATCGATCGCAAGATTGTCGACTACCTCATGGGCACTGAGACGGAGACGGCGGAGATGGTGCCGGGGTCGCAGCTCTACATGCCGGTGGTGCCCATGGAGAACGTTGTGCTGCCCAAGTGCACCACCGACATGGTGGTCACGACGATCCAGCACTACAGCCTGTTTGAGCAGTGCAAGCGTGGCTGTGGCTTTCACGAGGGACTCGGCACGAGCACCGGGGGGCTGGTGTTCCTCTTCTACGGCCCTAGCGGCACCGGCAAGACGATGCTGGCCAACGCGGTCGCCCACGAACTCAAGAAGCGCATCCTGCTTGTCAACCTGCTGCAGTTTAAGAGCGACGCCAAGGCGCCGGAGATGCTGCGCTTCATCTTCCGCGAGGCCAAGCTGAACGACGCGATGGTGTTCTTCGACGAGTGTGAGTCCATCTTCGAGTCCCGCGAGGCCAACCCGCTCGTCACCTCCATCCTCGCCGAGTTCGAGAAGTACGACGGCCTCATTGTGCTGGCGACCAACAAGGCGCAGCTGATTGACGAGGCGATGAACCGCCGCATCTCGCTCATGGTGGAGTTTCGCCTCCCCGATCAACACATGCGGGAGAAAATTTGGCGCGCCCACCTCCCACGCAACCTCGTGCTGCACGAAGACGTCTCCATCGCGGCCCTGGCGCTCAACTACGAGCTCTCGGGCGGCCTCATCCGCAACGCGACGCTCGCCGCCCTCAACAGGGCGGTCGCGCGGGAGAAGACGGCGACGCCGACCTTGTGCATGCGCGACTTCGAGGAGGGCGCACGACTGCAGCTGCGCGGCTTTTTTCTCGCGGCCGAGAAACCGCCGGGCGCCTCAACGGAGTCGTACATCACCCCGAAGCGGTCCCTCACCGACCTTGTGGTGGAGCGGCAGACGCAGCAGCAACTCGACGCCGTCGCGCGGTACTCGAAGAGTCGCAGCACGCTCTTTTCCCAGTGGGGGTTCAACGAGGACGACTGCGTGGATCAGGGGGCGCTGTACCTCTTCCACGGCCCGAGTGGAACGGGCAAGAGCCTCGCCGCGGAGGGCATCGCCTACGAGTGTGCCGCAACGATACGCCTCTGCAACGTGGCCGAGCTGATGCTCGTGTCGGGGTTGAAGGTGCACGAGGTGTTCGCCGAGGGCCGTAAGCTCGGCGCCATCATCGTCTTTGACGAGGCGCAGGTGCTCTTCAACCACTCGGAGCAGAGCCTGCATGTGGCGAAGCTCATCTACTACCACGCCATGCGCTACCCACGCCCGGTGCTCTTCATCGCGACGACAGGGACGGTGGGGACGTCAACCATCGACGTGCGTGCGACGCCGCTGATCTTTCAGCAGGAGATCCTCTTTCGCCTGCCAACGCAGCAGCTCCGTCGCGAGCTCTGGCGGCGCGCGTTGCCAGAGCGGATGCCCGTTGCGGACGACATTGACCTTGACGAGCTCAGTGAGGCGCCTGTGTCGGCGAAAACAATCCACGCGGCGGCGTTTAACGCCTGCTGCGGCGTGGCCATGCTGAGCAGCGAGGAACGCCGACTGACGATGCAGATGCTCCGTGACGAGCTCGAGAGCATGCGACTGAAGGAGCGGCACCGCCAGCCGCACAGCTTAATGTTCGCGTAACTGCAAGGATGGAAATGAAATGGAGGAGAATAAAGCGGTAGGTGGACCAAGCGGCCGCGGTCTCTCTCCGCCAGTGATGGTGGTTGCGGTGGGGAGGGAGGGAGAAGGCAAGAGGGAAGCAAAGGAGGAGGAGGAAGGTGGTGGGCGGCGCACACGAAGTGCAACGAGCGAGCGAGAGGTAAGGAAGAGGGTGTGTGAGTGGAGTGTGGAATGTGTGAGCGCCTGCGTGTGTGTATGTGTGACGGCTGAATCCTCCACCTAAGAAGTTTTGTTGTTTTTCCCCTTTTTTTTATTAAAAAAAAGAACTTGACTTTCTTTTTTCCCCCTAATCCCACTAACGTTAATCGTCCTAATCCACTCACTGCCGCTCGCCGTGCTCTCCTGTCGCCTTCACGGCCGCCGTGTTTTAGCCATGTGATGGAGGCGCAGGCCCTCACTTGTTTTCCAACGCCTTCTCTTCCCCTCTTTCCTTCTGTTCCGCCCGAAGCCCTCCTCACCAGCAGT